TAAAAAAATTAAATATAATTATTTTTAAAAATTTTTTATTATAATAAAACTTAAATTTTAAATTTAAATTAGTAAAATGAACCGCCTAATAACTAAAAAAAAAATGAAAGAACATTATTCTTAACCAAAAAAAGAAAAAAAAAACCCCATAGAACATCATTCTCAGCCAAAAAAGAAAAAAATATCACACAAATCAGATCAATTCCATTTAAAAGTTGTCGTTTTCTCCATTGTCCAAGCAGGATCTCCAAAGCCTTGTTATCAACGACCTCTTCGCCCCCGACCACACCTCTGCCCACCCCCTGCCGCCGACCAAGGTAGCAACAAACGAATCACCACGGTTCGCGAACAAACGATCGCCGTCGCGACCTCAAACCAGCAAATAAAAGCAACAAAACCAGGAAAAATGGCACAAAGAGCGACCGCCGTCACTGTCGCGACTCCGTAATCTTAGGCGTGGTGGACGTCACGGCCTCCTCGGCCGTTGCTCGCTCTCTCTCCGTCCGATCTCTCTCACTCTCTCTTCTCCGCATGTCTCTCTCTCTCTTCGAGATCGCTCAAAGATCACGATCCGAGATTTGTACTAGATTAGGGAGTCTGATGGATGAAAAGAGAGAGTAGAGAATTAGAGATAGGGAGAGGGGCGATCTGGAGAATCAGATTAGGAGCCCATCTACTTCATGCATTAAAATCATGATATTAAAATTATTTTTAATTTATGTGTATTTTTTTAAGAAAAAATACTATAACAAATTATAAATTATAATTTAAATCAGAGAATAAATTTTCCGACCAAACAGACTCTAAGTTTTGAAGTCGAGGATACAATAGAAATTACAAATTCAGTTCTTTAAAATATACTATATATTTCTTCATTTTTAAAAACATGTTTATTTTCTTTGAACATAAGTGTGAAATATATTGCATGGTGTATTATTTCTTTTTTTCTATAATTACTAAAGCTTCGTTTAATATATGGGTTTTGCTATAGTATAAACTCATAGTTTTAGTTTTCTCTCAAAAAAATGAATTTCAAAAATCATAATAAAAAACTCTAATTTAGACTCATATATCAACGGACGCTAAATATTAAAAGTTGTAAAAATAAACTTTTAATTTTAAAATAAAGAAGTTTGTCTAATAATCTGTCCTACCAGTAGTTTCAAATTTTAACTGTTAAATATGATCAAAATTATTTCAAATTGAAAAAATATGCAAACCTGACTGATTTTGATATAGATTTAATAGTTAAAAAGTAAAAGACTACTAGTATTTTATTTTTTGTGGAGACTACTAGAAAAAATCCCTTAAAATAATTTTAAAAAACAAAAAGGCTATAATGATTAAATGAAAAGGTAATTATATCAAGTATCGACCAATAGAAATCATTCAACAACAAAAAAATCAAAGGCTAAATTTGCTATGCTCTACTTAGACAATCTTCAATGCAATGTTAATGCAAATTGTATATTTAATATTAAAAATTATGATCATGTATGTTATTTTTATTTTTAGTCCAATGCATAATGTTATTTGAAATGTTAAATGTATTTTTTCCTATAATTATTAAGCTTAGAAAGTTATAAGAGTAAACTTATATTTTTAAAATAATTAGAAAATGTAAAAGTTGCATTAATTACACAGAAAAGGTAAACATTTCAACCAATAGTAATCAAATGTTAAATTTTTTATATGCTATACTTGGTGAAAAATTTGCCATAAATTATAGCAGATGAGAAATTTGACACAACAAATAGTATTGTATTGGAGAGTATTTTTTGCACTCAAATATTAAATTTATAATTGACACATTAATTATAATATTGCATTGGAGATGATCTAATTAGTGGAAAATTAACCATAAAATTTAACATATGGTAAATTTATTCCAGCACATAATATTATATTGGAAAGTATTTTTTACATTCAAATGTTAAATTTATAATTGACAGATTAATTATAACATTACATCAGAGATATTCTTATTAGCATTAGTGATAGTTTGGTAGAATTTTTTTTTTTTTCCCTTGAAGGAAAAAAGAAATATATGCCATAAGGAAAAGCTCAGTATCAAAGCCAACTGTACAAGAGAAAAATGAAAATATTAACATGTATACTTACAACTTGCTTATAGAATATTCTGAACTGAAAAATAAAAGATGTTGAACTCAAGTCCATTGATGAACATATGACCACCACTATTGTACATGGAAAAGAAAAGAGCTATATGTGTCCACGTTTTATTATCGGAGACCAAATTTCTTCATCTAAAAGTTAATGTATACGTGTAAGCGTGTGTACACTATGAATCCGATTTGAGTTTTTAATTCGAGTTGAGATGTAACTTTATATGAGAATTTTTTATTGTAATAAAAAAGTTAAATGTGACTATTTTTAAAAAAAATTTACTTTAACAAAATTCAAATTATAAACTTGAATCAGTAAAATAAACGGGACCTATATTGAATCTCTCATCTTACAAGACCAAGACCAAACTTGTTGATTTATGGACCATAAATAAAAATGTTGAATACAAATGAACAACTAACTATAAACAACCATGGACAATTTACAGGTCACTTTTTAGAAGCTTTATATTATCGTTAGCTTTCATGCCAAGTCTCATTTCTTTCCTTAATAAATAAATAAAATAAATAGTTCTAATATGTTGAAAAAAAAAATGCCCCGTTGTTTTCTTCATCACTCTTTGTACGATACTCTGTGTATAGACACTTTCGGATTTCTCTTTCTTTTCACATTATGAATTTATTTTTACTATTTTTCCCGTTTTTTTCAAAGATATTTACTTTTTAGAACATAATAATTCAATATAATAAAAAATATATTATTATTGCTCCAGAAACACAAGATACATTATTTATTAAAAACAATACATAGGATACATTTTACCTAAATAATGAGAGAAAAAAATCTGCTTTAATTATGGGGATATGAGCGAACCCATCAATGGTAGAGAAGCAAAGAGCCGCTCTATATTTGGAATAGTATTAAACCAATTGATTTGAGATGAAATTAAAAAATTTACCCTTAAAAATATTTAGGTATAAATTTTTATTTTTTACGTTTAATTAATATTCTTTTAATTAAAAGAGTATTAAATAAAAATAAAAAGTAAAAATATGACTCGTGTAATTTAACAGTATTTATCTCATTTTCTTCTTAATTTATATTTAATTAATTTTCAATTTCCCCTATTATATATATATATATATATATTTTTTTTTTTTTTTTTGAGAATCAGAAACTGTTTTCTTTTTTAACACGCACATATTTATAAGTCACAAAAGTTTGTGCGTCTGTTTCGATGTTCGACCTGAAATAAAAAGAATCCGTCAACCTCTTGTCTCACGCATTCTATAGTTAGAATTCCCACCATAAAACACACCAGAAATTCCAAATTAAAAAACAAATACAAAAACAAAAACCACCAGACTCTCCAATACCACCTTTAATTTATCGTCCAAATCAAAAAAACCACTTTTCATTTCTCGTCCCAAAACCACCTTTAATTCCAAGCCCACAAACATCCGAAATAAATTTGAAAAACAAAAACTGTTTTTATTTTTGGCTAAAAGGTTTTCCTTTTCTCCCGTTCGATTTTGCGTCGACCGTTGATTAATTGTTGTGCGGCCGTGATTTTGACGGTGGTCGGAGGCGAGGAGGGTCCGTTCGATCAGGAGCGTACACGTGTAGGGTGGTGGTGTAGAAATGGGGACGGAGATGGTGGGAGTCACGTGGGGCACGTGGGAAGAGCTCCTCCTCGGCGGCGCGGTGCTCCGGCACGGCGCCCAAGACTGGGACACCGTCGCCGCTGAGCTCCGAGCTCGAGCCCTTTGTCCGTACACTTTTACCGCCGAGGTAAAAAGAAAACTCGCAGTAAAATTACGTTTTGCTTCTTACAAATTATTTTTCTTTTTTCTCTTTTTTTTTTTTATAAAGAAGTTTTTTATTTTTTATTTTTTTAACGTTATATATGATACCCGCTTCAGTTCATATAAATCATACCTTTTATAACTGCTTTTGTTTGTTAGTCTTTCTATTATTATCATTTTTTTTTTTCAATTGGCCTTTGGATTTTTAAAATTTTCTTTTTTTTTCTTTTACCCATACCTTTAATAAATTAAATATATAAGCTTTTACCCAAACTATTGACTTTTTATCTTTACGAGGTATTTGTCTTTTTGCTTGGCAATCCTTATCTTATCTTTTTTTTTTTTTCTTCCTTGAGAAGTTATCTTTATCTATTTTATGCTTCTATTCTCATATTATTGGCTATTGCACAAGAATATGAATGTGAATAAATAATCGCGCTTCTTTGGAATAAAGTTGGTATGATTTCATTTTTGTGGTCAGAGAATATGTACTTGAAATTTTCAACGAGCAGGAACAAGAAAATCTTCGTATAAGTTTCCCACTTAATTTTCCTGAATTTGCTTATTAATTAGTAGTTGCATTCGAATTTCCCATAGTTACACGGCGAAGACATATTGGCCAACTTTGTTATCCGTACCGTACATGCTTGACTTGAATATATAAATAAAAAATTAAATAGACGTCTCAACCCTATGAGGTCCACTTTGAGACCCGGTATATTCGAGTCTTATATTCATTATTCATACGTATTATTTCTTTTGGATACCAACACTTGACTTAATATGGAAGTTTTTGGTTAAGTGTTAGAAGGACAACTAGGTGCCCAAAAGAAATAAGACGTATGAATAATGTATAAGATCCGATTATGTTGGGTCCCGCTAGGTGTACCACATGGAGAGTTAAGGGCATCTAGTGACCCTTAGGGATTTCTTTGTGTGTCAATTAGTACTAACACTTGATTTAAGAACCTTAAAAAGAAGAGAGGTCAAAGAAATCTTTAAGGACCGCTGTGTGTTCAGATATGACAGTACGTATGAAAAACGAGTATAAGACCCGACTATGTCGGGGGTCCCGCTAGGTGGACCTCACGGGGGTTAAGGCGTTACAAAGACCTTCTTTGTAGGCCGACTTGCGGGTAGGGTCAATTTCTAACTGTTGGATTTGGTGAAAATTACACCAAATTAAAAAAGTACGCATAACAAATAGTTTTTTTTTATACAGATTTAACGGTTGAAAATTAAAAAATTATTGATAATTTATTTTTTTCACTCCTACAAAAAAAATCACGTAGTCATTTGTCATATTTAGTGATTAAGTGATAATTTTTGGTTCTCTAGTTAGAAAAGGGAACAACGATGCTATAAGTGCTCCACTTTTATCTACTAAATTTAGGGCTCATTTGGCAAATGTATTTAAACTTATAATTCTGATTATATACAGTGTTTTTTTCCCAGACATAATTTGAATTCAAAATTTTCCACAAATGCTTCTCTCACAAAACTCCCGTCAATGAATTAAAATCACTGACTGGAACATGTGAACTAAACGGACCCTTAATTATTTCTATATTTGTTTTGGATTTGATTGGATAATTAACTTCCGAACTGGGGATTAATCTGATTAGTGTGATATTACCAAAAATTCCAAAAACTTATTTGTTCGGGTTATTAAACTGGGCTTTATTTCCAGGTGTGTAAGGCCAAATATGAGGACTTGCAGAAGCGTTATTCTGGATGCAAGTGAGTAGTATAGTATTGACTTGTATTTTGTTGTTTTCTAGTACATGCCATATTGCCGCGTTTACAATTCAAGTGATTTCATGTGTTCATTTTAAGACAAATTTCAATGTACTTAGGCTTCCTTTTGTTTGGTCGCATTTCCCTGAGTTTTTATGATTATAAATTCTGCATGTCATTATGGGTTCGGTGCATTTAATGTCCTCAAAAAAATAATATCATTTCACATAAGTTAACAACATATTTGAATTGACATAACATGATATGATAATTGTCATAATATTTTAGTTGACATGGCACAAGAGTCGATCATTCATTATTCGTGCATGAGTGAAGCAAGTTATATGTTTATCTTTTATTTTATTTTATTTTTAGAATGACTCATTTCATCGGATGTTACATTTTGATACTACTTTTTCAGGGCTTGGTTTGAGGAGCTAAGAAAGAAGCGAATGGAAGAGTTGAGACATGCTTTAGAGCTTTCCGAAGGCTCAATAGGGTTTGTTTTCTTCTTTTCCCTGAAATTCATATTTCAACATTTATAACCGCAAAACAATAACAAAAAATCACACAGTAGACTTCCTATGAAGGGCAGACTTGGCCATTTAATCAACATTTTGCATCTCTTGGCATATCAAATATGGTTAAATAAGTGAATTCTTAATAACTTTATTTCAAACAGAAATTTGATAACGAATCTCTGCTAGCTTGAACATGTAATCGGTGTAAACTAGTAAAGTGTAAAAATCAATTTTTTTTAAGTCTCTACATGTTCTAAACACATGAGCTTCATTAACATAGAGAATTTGTTTTACACTCTAATCATTATAGTCCTCAGTGGCTAGAAATTTTAGTTGTCGTCTCTCATGTTAAAACTTGTTCTTGCGTCCTGCCACAGATCTCTCGAATCGAAACTTGAAACTCTCAAGGCTGAGAAAGGTGGCGAATCCCACATCAATTATGCCTCTGGCCAGACAGAATTGCCTGCGGCTTCACAAAAATCGGGAGGATTCGAGTCCTTTAGTAAAGAGACATCCAAGGACGGGCTTTCCGCTGGCAGTTTCACTCTGGAAACCAGAACAAGCTGCTCAGCTGAATGTGGCAATCCATGTCCCGAAGAGACTGAGACAAAACCTGAAGTTTTGCGCTCTCTCGAGCAGGGGAAAGTCTCGATCGCCGGGAGTTTTGTTGACAATGTACATGGAAGACAAGGAGGGATGCTAAAGAAGAGGAGAGGGAAAAGGAAGAGAAAGGATTGTAGTAGCAAGGAAGTCAAGGAAAGTAGTGTTGGAGAAAGTGGATTTTTGGATTCAGCCGATGCTGTAACCGCCTTCTGGTCTAAAGAAAACTCGACCAGTGACTGCACTGAGGTCTCGAGATCTTCCATTTTGGATAACCAAATTAGAGTGGCAAATAAGGATGGGATTGATGATCTGTTGAATGTCTTCAACACCATTGTGGAGCACAAATGCGGCTCTACCTTTCGCCGCCGACTTGACAGCCAGGTATTGGAAAAGAATAAAAAGAGAGACAGAACAGTGTTTTTTTTTTTTTCTCCCTCTGCCTTGCTCATTTTTGCTGCTTGAACTCACTTATTATCTGTCCACTATATTGATATCACAGAAGAGAGGAAGATACAAGAAAATGATTAGGAAGCACATGGATTTCGACACTCTAAGATCAAGAATTATTAGCCGTTCGATCACTTCAGTTAAGGAACTCTTCCGAGATCTTCTGCTGCTAGCTAACAATGCCTTGGTTTTCTACTCGAAGAATACGCGTGAATACAAATCTGCTTTGCTTCTCAGAGAGCTTACTACCAACACATTGCGCCAGCATTTCACTACTTTTAGCAGCCTTGGCAGCGGCAAGGCTGCCTCTACCAAACTCTCCGCCATGACAACAACAATCCGCAGTCCTCCGGTCAAGCCCTGGAGTGCTCACCCAGTCGACAAAAACCCGTCGCTAAAGACGGGGGCCAAGGATGTCACCAAGGCTCCGAAAAAGGGCCTTAGTCAGCCGATAAGAGTTGGGCGTAAAAGTAACACTCAGCAACAAAGTGTTACTCCTGTGAAAGGAAGGAAAGGTGGTAGGACAAGGTAGGATAAAAATTGTAAATTGGTTTTTCTGTTTTTTCTTTTTCAATGCCGGGTTTAGATTTACGAAGGCGCGTCAATGCCTATAAAGTCTGCTTTTAAGGTCTTTGTTGTACAAAATTTGGGACCTTTTTTTTTTTTTTTTTTTGGTTCTCATTGTTTTATAGCATCAAGTCTTTAAAGCTTGAACTGCAAAACTTGTAGAGGCCTGAAACCAGTTGGAGAAACTAAGAATATGTAGAGCAGTTGATCCTCTGAATGGATAAAGAACTTAATGATGACTTTTATAATTTCAACTAAAAGGAAAAATTGCTAAAAGTCTTGTACTTACGTTAACAGATTTTATGAGATGATATTATGGGGGAGGGGAAAAGTTGTCGGAGTTGTAACAGGAATAAGCAAAAATATAAATTAGGAGAAAATTATTGAATTTATTGTTAAAGTGCGTGAATCTAATGTTTTAACTTTTTTTATTAATTAATATCTTTCTAATTAATATAATTATTTATTTAAAAAAAATATTAATTAAGAATAAAAAGTAAAAATTAGTCTCATATAAGTTAAAGAAGTATTTATCTCCTATCTTCAAGTATTAAATATAACGTTTTTTTGAGAAAATGTGCCTTTCTCACAACGACATGTCGTATCACTTCACTTGAAAACACAATGCGAAAATTTTCCTTTCTAATAATCAACATCATGAATTGTTTTCTTAAGAATTTAATGGATTTGTTAATCCTTCCCTAATGGAAGGATCCAAAATAGTGGTCTCAAGAGTCATGGGAGAGTTTCTCCTTTCTATATTTATTCTCTATTCTTTGTTTTCCCTCACCAAACAATATCTGTTATTTTATTTTAGTGACTGTCTCTCTAATTAAATTTGGCACATCGTGATTTACTTAAGTATATTTAGTATTTTGTTTCTATTTATGTAGTTAGATACCTAATTTTAAATGACATGACAAATAACTAATGAAGAGACAGGTGCCGAGACAAAAAAAATAAAGACAATAGATATGGACTCTTTCCCGTGTTGGTCTCTCTCCGACCAAACACACTCTAAGAGGGTGTTTGGTATGAGGATTCGTGTCATAGTTCGTGATTCACTACAGTGTTTTTTCTCACAAAAAACACACATAAACTGAAAATAATTTTGAATCGTGATTCTGAATCCGTTGACCAAACGTTCAGTAAAACTAAAAAGAAGACACGCCGAACTTCCCAGGTTCTCAGGGAGAGGACGCCGAAGTTAAGGCATTGAGAGCCACCAAAGCATCACTAAACCACGTAACGTAAATGCTAAAATTTGACATGATTAACACTCGCTGGCAGATACTTTTTAATTATCCAGAAAAGTCAAAATATTGAATTTAATTGTCTTTATTAGTTTTTGTTTCAAAAACAAATCCTATTTTTTAGACTTCAGCGACTACTTTTTAAAATTTGAAGATGAATCTTATAAAAACAGAACGAGGATTGAAGGTATTTCTTTCTCAATAACTTCAAATCTTTTTTTTTTTTTTTCTACTGAGTATTTATCTTCTCAAATGTCTTCTAAGCAGATTTCTGTTACCATCTCTTAATCCTCTTCCTAATAACTATTCAAATGAATCTAACATGAACTTGTTTACTTGAAAATGGGCTTGGGCATATCATCCGCGAAAATGGGCTCCAGAAAACGATACCCAACGTAGCACTCAATAAGAGAGTTTGACATGCTTTTGTGCACTATAATTCCTTTATTAGAAGCAAAAATAATAATAATAATAATAAATAAATAAATAAAAGCGCGCAATACTGCTCATGTCTTGATAAGAAATACGGCCAATCATACTATTATATGTTGGGAAAGAGGGGAAGAGCCTGGTAACTGTTATGAATAGTAATTATTTATCTCATTTAAAATTATTATGTAAGTCAGTCAAAGTTATTAAATTAATTAAAATTAGTGTTTATGTCATAATTTTATTTTGTAATAATAACTGTTAGTAACCGTGAACAGTGTCAAAATTTTTTCTATAAATAGAGCTTTAAAGTTCTTCATTTTGTACACATTCACAAGATTAACGAAACTATCTTTCTCTAGTTTCCCTCAATAAAATTTTTCTTCTTAATTTTACATTTTTTTATAACAGTTATAATTTATAAGATTACTGTTATAGTTTTTATAGCAGATGCCTACTATTTGATATTGTTATGGGAAAATGATATCATGATACCTTATATTATATTCTTTTATTGGTATCTCATTGTTTTTTATTTTATTTTATGGATATATCATTGTGTAGATAACATCAATTTGATACTCCATGTTCCAAAACAAAACAAAAAAAAACTCTGAACACCTTGCGCCCGTATTTTGAAACTTAAAATAACATTTTCAAATTAATTTATTTAATACATAAAATTCCTTTAAGAAAAGCTTTTATGTGCTATTTGTTTTCAATGATGTTGGTTTATCTTTTTTTCTTTTTTAAAGTTTATTTCTCTCATTTAACGTGTTTTTAGATTGTTTTTAGACTGAGTGGACATTAAAGATATTTTTTATGTTTAAAAAAAAAAAAAACAACCTGAAAATATGCGGACGTTTTCTTAAAGACAAAGGTGCCCATTTGGTTATTATTTTTTTTATAAAAAAACTAGGATATCAATTCACTAATTTAATAATATACAAATGACATCTATCCAGATGTTAGTTTCTCTTCTACTATTTTTATCCATTTACCATTTTTTTTCCACTAACAACGCCGATAATATTTTGTTTTCTCAAGAAATTGAAGAATCTTTTGAACGTGGCTGCCTATTGATGAATGTGTTATTGAAAAAATCTTAACGTGGATACCGACTTTTCCTCTTCTTCTAGCAAAAAAGAAACATTCCTCTTCTTCTTCACCTAATGACAACGTAAATATTTCGTTATATTTTATTTCTTTTTTCCCTCGAAAGAACTTTAGTTAGAAAAGTGATATTGAGGGCAGGGACAAAATTTAAACTAGGTGATTATAATCATCATTCTAAAATCAGAATCATGATTCATAATTTTAAGCTCAAATTATAATTTTGAAACTATGATTCAAAATCAGGAGTTTAGGGGACGTTTGTTTCATATATTCGTCCCTGATTCTGAATCATGATTCATAGTTCTCTACAATATTTTCTCTCACAAAAAATACACGTAAATCGAAAATAGTTTTAAATCATGATTTTAAATACATAAACCAAACGTCGTTTTAGAATCATGATTTAAGCTAGTTTAACACATCACATCAGATTCTGAATCATCCAAACTAAACACTGATTTAGAATCATGATTCATAATCATTGTAAACAAACACTGATTCTGAACTATGGATCTAGAATTATGATTTTGGATCCATCTACCAAACGCACCTTAAGGGTCTATGAGGGGGGCTTAACAACTTTTTATTATTTACACATTACACACATATTTTATACTATATTTCAAAATAGCCCCCCCTAAAAAAATTTTAAAAAAAACATAGTTTTCTTTCTTGAAAAATTGAAAGACTGTTACTTTAAAGTTTAAACCAAAGTCGAACAAATATCCCAAAAACATAGCAATATCTCATCCCCTAATAATGGCCTCGATTGTTTATAAAGTAAATCTATTCATTTTCTTTTCTAAATTTCTTATTTCTTGATTCTTTTTTTTTTTTTGTTTACTTGTCTATATAACTACATATCCCCTTTTAAAAAATAAAGTTCATGTAATACTATTTTTGAAGGTGAAGCATTATAATATTTCTAGATAAGAATAATAGCATCCTAGTATATAATCAATTTTGACAGTACTTTCAAAGACTTTTTCGGTATATATTATAGATTCTATCAAATATGTCTTGACTAGATTTTTGTGAATTCATTTGTTGCGAGTAGTGTTATGTTTTAGTGAGCAGTTCTAATTAGGATCAAAAGTATTGATGACCATACACAGAAAGTAAAGTAGTATAATAAGAAACTAAAAAAAATCTCAGGAAACACATATAATTAACTTCCTAATATATCTTTCTAGTTAAAAATGATTATAAAAAAAAAAA